GAACATTTAACGATAGAAGAACACAAATTGGAAGCTAAAAGAAAGAAGAAAAAAATCTCGAAGCTCGATGCCGTCAGTGTTCGAAGTGTGAAAAATGTTTTGGCCAAATTATTAACGAGTTGTTAACGGATTTTCCAAAATATCAGAGGCAAAGAAAACGAGTCGTAGCTTTTGATCAATTGCATCGCGTTTGATGGAATCTACGTGCACGATGGAAACTCGATACGGCTGAGTCGCGAATATCAGAAGGAAATGGTATGGTATCGAAGCTACCGTCCGATTGGTAGGTCAGAAGGTCGGATTTCATAGGTCTTTTGATTTTCGCTCACCTGTATCCTGTCTTCGGGCAGATCGGTTCGAAGGCTGAGCATCTCGCGAGCGTACACGTCGGGATAATGGGCTTCTTTGAACGCTGCCTCCAGCTCCTCCAGCTGCTGTGACGTGAAGATCGTCCTGGAGCAACAACCGTATGAACCTAGTTATATGCCATTACAGCTTTTCCCTTAAAGCTAGCCTACACTCGAAGGAAAAAGCTCACGTGCTGATGTGGAGGGGGGCCGAAATGAGAAATATTTCACAAGCAAAATTGCTAGGGACAAAAAGTTGAATCGTTATCGAATAATCGGGGAGGAAGAGAGTAAACAATTTCACATGGATTTCGCAATGCTCGAAACGAGATTAAATTCTATACATTTTCACCCGAAACGAATTTCGAGGGAATCAATCAACGTATGGATAAATCTATCTTTTGTGCGGGGCGAATTTATTTAAAAACATATTTCATAAATTTTACAATGAAACATTCGAGTCGTGAAAAATTTTAATTTGCGCACGTTTCAATTTATAGGGTTATAATAAATTTCCTTCGTTCCGAAACAATTTCGAAAGGCCTCCCTCAACGTCAATTTTTCAACCTTTCCACGGTTTGATAATACCGTGGGAATAATCTTACATGGCCGTGATGTAATATCGAACGTTTGAATGGAATCGATCCAACACCGAATAAATATATCTTTTAACGATCAATTTAAGCCCGTGAATTCGTCCATCTGGTATACAATTATCGCGGAACGGTGATTGCATTCGGGTTGTCTGTCACTTGAAAATAGCTGAAAACTCATTATCGGGGGTGGTACTCGTCGATTACACGATGAAAAGTCTAAAATGATATATTCGTTTGGAATAAATTTATCATTATCGACGAACGAAAATCACTGAAACGCGGAACAAGTTGTCTATTCGGGGGAGGGGGGGAGGGGACCGTGTATAATCAAGCGAAAATGCATAAGAATAGCTCTCAACGTTGCGTCGAAAATTTTGCCACTGGTTATTAATTATTCGCGCGTATTTCTATCACGCTGATTTCACATTACGCGTCGATCAACATTTTTCCTTCTTTTTTTTTTCCTTTTTTTTTTTTTTTTTTTTTTTACAATGCGCGCGCCAGACTGAATTAATGGCGAATTCGTTTCGGAAATGGCGAAAAAATTCGATGCAACGATAAATAAAACAAAAAAAAAAAAGTAAAAAGAAAAAAAAATTGTTCATCGAACCAGAAAGAAAGAAAAAAAAAGACAAAAAAAAAAAAAAAGAACAAAAAAAAAGATTCGGGTGAGACACTCACCTATGACGACGCTTCTTCTTCTTCTTTTTGCTGAAACCGGAGAGACCGTCGACCGTGAAGTCTTTCCCGGATTCTATATTGTGCCCGACACCTGTAACAAGATCGTTAAATTTATTTAATCTTGGGGAAAATATAGCGGGGATAATACGTGAAAACATTTTTTCAAAACTAACGATATCTTGGTTAAACAAACGCATGATACGTCAGGATAAAATAAGCTTGGATAATTTGCGGCTGTATCCCCTTCCTTCAAAAAATCATCATTAACGCGAACCAATAATCCATTCGATCCCGAATTGAAGCGGCGCGCATACATCGGGGATCAAATTACCCATTATATCCGATTTTCCAATAAATCGAGACCACGCGTATTCACGCAAATTGTATCAAATGAGTGGTCTACGAGTGCACGCAACCCCTCTTCGATTTCCCTTGGTTAATAGTTGATGACGATCTACGATAACTCGACGAAAATATCGATTTCGAATGAATATCTTTCACCTTTTGACCGAGGTTTGTCGATACACGAAAAAAGAAAAAAAAAAAAACAAAAAGAAAAGAAAAGAAGAAAGAAAAAGCAACACGTTTCTCGATAATTAAAAAAAAAAAATTTGAAATTGCCTCACGGCACGGCATGATGAAGGGTGGATGAAAAGACGCGGAACAAGGATTCGGAGCAACCCAAATTCGCGTAACCGTTTCTCATGTTCCAATTTCTCCCTTTGAAGCATCGGCACGCAGCTAAGAAGCGCAAAACGCGATTCTATTTTTCCATTTATCGCCCGTTTCCTTTGTCCACCACTCGCCGCGTCGCATTTAAAGCATTATCTACACTCCTCGGTGGTAGAAGAAAGGGGAAAAAAAAAAAAAAAAAAAGAAAACGACAATTAACGTGGACATTGGACGTGGTGTGTACACCGCGCGCGTTTCGATCGGGAAAACTCGCGCGTGGAAATTACGTTCCACGCGCGCGATATCGACTGTCGCAGCGCGGACTTGACACTCGATATTCCGGTAAATTTATTACCGATAACCGAATTGCGAATGGTTCGATGCTCGAACTGCCTTCTTCCCTCGAGGAGAGGGAAGAATTCACGTCGAAAACAAAAAAAAAAAAAAAGAAGAAAAGAAGGAAAGAAATGGAAGAGACGAAGGGAGGAAAAAGAATATCGAGAGATCTTGTTGACCAGACGATCCTCAGACGATCCTAGATGGATTTTCTCCAGTCTGAGAAATCTAGATTGCCCGATCTGGCGCGTGCACACGTCAACGACACGTGGAAAAAAAAAGAAAAGTAAAATTTCTTCCTTCTTCTTCTTATTTTTTTCTTCTTTTCTCCTGTTTCTTCTTCTTTTTTTTCTTTTCTTCTTTTTCCCCTACCCCACTCGTGACTCGACAATTTGTGCGTGCTTTGCAGGGTAAATGGCAATTTTGTACGGGCGAGGAGAGGCAGGAAATTAGAAAGGTTGGTCGAGATGGCAAGCGGATAGGACCCATAGCCCGAAAATAATTATCAATTATAAATTAATTTCGAATTAACGAGCGAAAACCGGCTCCGTGGCGCGCGCCGCTTCCACAATGAAACCCTCTCTCCCCGGGGCTAACTCGTTACTACAGTTGTTGCTACTGCTGCCAGTCGCTGGTGACGCTACTACCGGCAGCTAATTAACTATTAATTAAGAGCTTAATTCCAATTATACGTGTTCTTCGACTAATTGGACCCACGAAACACATTGCTGACGTCACGTGGCTGCACGGATACGATTACTCCGCCCCCATCGTCCTACTTCTTTCCGCCAAATTATTTCTATCGCAGGTTCCTCCTCCCTTACCTGCTGCCAGTAATCCTGTATTTTCATCCTATCCCGCTATAGTATAGCAGACTAACCATTAATCGCTAGTTTTATTTGGAGAGAAAACTTTATTTGTTTCGTGAAAAATATGATAAAAAAGGAATCCAGATGATATTTGTTGACACGCTAGAGACACGCTATAGAGAGAATTTGTAATGGAAATTTGTAGAGAAAAGAAATGGATAAGGGATTATTATTGACTTTAATATCCTTTATAAAAATCTTTTCCCGGTGCACGCTGATATTTCAGCGTTGTCGTGCAAACCGTTTCCAGAATGCAAATCCGCAGCTGAAGTTGACACCGAGAATTGCTTTGGATAAATTGTCACGCGGTTGACGCGGGAAATAAAGTCCTTCACCATAGTTGGAAAAAAAGAAAAGAAAGGAAAATAAAAGAAAAGAAAAAAAAAAGAGCTAGTTTTCCGAACGTGTGAGCACCGAAAATGCCACGAAAGTCTGTGTGAAAAGAAAGGCGAAAGAGAGGAATTCCGACGAATTTTGAGTCGAACAGTTTCGTAAACGGTGGGCGACATAGAACACATGGCATGCGAAAATAGCGGAGGCTGCTTTTAAAATGCATTGTTAATCCTTCCTTTTTCTTTCCGCGCCACTGTTGCTACTCTCTTGCTTTCACTCGCGCTGCATTTCACCGCTTTTTCAAAACGCTTCCCCAAAGTCAAACGAGGGAATAGCTTTATAATCATTGGCGAAACTCGCTCGAAAGAGGTGAAAAAAAAAAAAAAAAAAAAGAAAAAAAGAAAAAGAAGAAGAAGAAGAAGGAAAAG